AGCTATTTTCACCCCCATTTTACACATTGTAAGACTGAGGCACAGAGAGGTTGGGTGGCCTGGCCAGTCCTACACAGCAGTCCGTGGTCGAGCCAGGATTCCAACTCAGGCACTCTGATTCCAGACCTGTGTTCTCAACTACTCTGCCAGACTGCTTGGAACATATTAGATGCTTACCAAATATTATTGCCTTTTTCCCTTCCATCCCTAAAATCTGTCTAGGGTTTTTGGAAGGCCATATCTCTGTCCCTGTTACTGGAAAGACTTCCCGAGGTTACCAGCTCCTCATCCTCCATCACGAGGTCTGGCAAGATGCTCACCCACTAATGATGGCAGTGCCCATGGTGACTTGGGGGCACCTGAGTCCACTGGGATCTCCATCAATGACTCTTCTCCATCTTTGATGGAGACAATACATGTTTTCTCAATCTTATGTAAAGTGTTATTAAATGCAGCTTCAAGATAAGCCTCGAGATCTCCCATCCTCCAACCTGATTGTTGCCCCTTGGTTCCTCTTTTGTAGGAGTCTGGTGTTTCCAGAATGAAATGTCTCATCATGTGGTAGCTATGTGTCCCCAGCTGTAAAATGGGGCTCACTGTCATTGCAAGTTACCCCTCTATTTCCCCCACCAAATGCCTCCAGGACATTGGAAGGGACCTTGAAAGATCACCTGATCCAAACCACTCATTTTAAGCACATACTCTATTTTTAAAATTCAACTAATACACGCACATAGTAAAAAAAACAAACAAACATATACTACTTAAAAGTAAATAGTAATAAAAAATAAAAGTATTTCCCTCTACCAAAGACAACCACTGTTGGAAGGTCTTTAGGTATCCTTTGAGAAAAATATATAGTGATATACAGGTATGTCTGTATATGTAAAGTTTACACACATCAAGCCATGTGATACATATTGTTCTGTAGCTTTTATTGAATATATATATTTGGATTTGTTCTGTACCTTTTATTGACTATATATATTTGGATTCAATAATAGATAATGCATTATCTAATAATATATTTGGATATCTTTTCACAGTTAACACAAAGTTCTACTTCATTCTTTTAAACAATTATACAAATGGATCTACCTTTTTTATTTAGTCAGGACTACATGGATAGGCCTTCAGGCTCTTCCCAGTTGGGGGGTATCTCTGCGCTTTTCCCAGGTGGTTTTCCTAGCCATGGGTTAAAAGATATGTGCATTTTATTTATTTATTTATTTA